AGCCAATGAGAGTCAGAAGCAACCCTGCTTAACGTTCACTAGGAGCCCCTGCCCATTCCCAAGGCCACCTTCTCTACGATGACGTCGCTGATTTGGCCATTTGAATTTAATTATAAAATCTTATTCACAATTACTTCAGGCTGCAGACAAAGACTTATCACTGATGTTATAACATGGATTTGTTCTTCCAGTGCTAGCCGTTAAATAGGCTTGTCCACCCATCCACCCATTATCGTGACCGACCGCTTAATCCCCACTGGGGTTGCGGGGGGCCCAGAGCCTATCCCGGGTACAACGGGCGCAGGCGGGAACCAACCCTGGGCGGGCACCAACACACCGCAGTGAATGGGCTTGTTTGTGTGTTTATTCTGCTGTGTTTCTGCAGGGGTGCAGAGAACACATCCATTGCTCATTCCCTCCTGTTCCAATGCTCCTTGTTAAGTGGCCCCCATCCATCAAGCTCTTTGCTGTCCTACGGAATAAAACTCTATGCTAATTCTATGCTCGCATTGCATAACCATGGGAAATCTAGGGTCACTCCATCCATCCATCCATCCATCCATCCATTTTATCTAACTGCTTCTCCTACTGCACACACACACACACACACACACACACAATTTGGTAACTCCAATTAATCTCAGCATGTTTCTGGACTGTGGTGGGGGGGAGAACAGGAGTATTCAGAGGAAACCCCACAACGACATGGGGAGAACATACAACCTCCACACACACAGAACTCTGGCAGAGACTTGAACCCCGGTCCCAGAGGTGCGAGGCAACAGTGCTAACCACCGCAATGTCGCAGCATGTCGCCCCCTATAGTCAGCCCTTAATCTTTATTTATAAAGCTGGCATCTCCTTTATATGTATCTGTAAGTGCTTTGTTCAGTGACAAAGCATCATGGCAGGTCACTGTGCTTATCGAACACGGTGTGCAAGAGAGACAGTGTGAAATGCACTCCTGGAGGATCCCTATAGGAGAGCCCTCTGCTGAGGCTGGATCTGGTGTTATTAACTACTGGGTAGCTGAGGAATGTCTCTAAATGCTTCTTTTTCTTACAGGCAGGGCTGTGGGAGTATCTGGGAAATACGTGCCCAAGCCATGGCGAGCATGGCGAGCAGCAGCTTCATGTGAGCGTTTGCGTGTCTGTTCTGAGCCTGCATGACATCCGCCGGTGGCCTCATATTGGACCGACTCCTCACTTACTCAACCAATGGCTGAATATTGCCGTCACTATGGAAACCATTAGTTTCCAGGCAACCGGCCCATCATCTGCAGCAGTCTATGAGTCGCATCTAATTATGGGATTCAGACATCTCGCAGTGTTACCGTATGACAGTCTAGTGAAGGACTTGTTAGTAGGAGGTGGGGGGGAGTGGGGGGGGGGGGCGTGAGACACATATTAAACGGAATATCAGGATGTGGAAGAGTGGCCCAGGAAATTGGGAAGGTGGAGCCGTGAGAAAGAGTTTGTTATATATAAAATGAAACAGATGAGATCATGGCGTCTCTCTGTTATCCTCATTTAGCCCCCAGACCCCCATTCTGGAAGGGGTCTGTGTGATTATTTTATTTAATCCTTTCACCTGCAAGAGTCTCCGTGTTTATGAAGCTTCAATGGAGAGATGTGATTCATGGGCTTTTACTCTCAGTGCAGTGGGTAGCGAGTCGCGAGCATTACGGGCGGTTTAATAACCTACCTAGAGGGAGCTGCCAGGATATATAAGGTATAAAGAGAGCAGATCAGCCGATGCCTGGCTGGTGTCTATACTTACGCTCCCATAATTACCTTGCGAGAAACAGGCACATTTCCAAACAAGCCCGTAACCCAGGGCAAGGGACACAGATGCTGATTTTTTTTTTATTGTATGCAGAGATAAAACATTACAGTACAATAAAACAATGCAATCAGCGACAACAAATAAATATGACATTTCCTTCTTAAATAAAACACACATTTTATTTCCTGTTTAACTTCCTTCTTTTGTGCAGTGGTTTTTAAAGCAGCGTGTGTTTGTGTGGACGACATGTAGTGGTCAAACATGACGGCGTTTGCATGTTAATCAGCATAAGAGAATCCAGGGACGGGGCGGCAGGACAGGATAGAGACGGGAAGCCACTGCTGAAGGGAAGCGGAGAATCTCTGACAACAGGTCACGAGAACGAGCAAGAGCAGAGCACAGGGCAAAGGGACGCGTGTGCTGGGGTGGGAACGTGAGCCGCATGTGGAACAAGCAAGGAGGCGTCTGCTTGTGTGTTTGCCAGCTGACTGTGCTGGGAGGCTATGCTAAAGGGCTGTGCTGAGAGGCTGTGCTGGAAGGCTGTGCTAAAGGGCTGTGTTGAGAGGCTGTGCAGAGCTCCTGTGTATTGGATAGAATGATTCCAGCAGACAGGCATGATGCTGTCATGCAAGGGCATAACTATGGTTTGAGCATTGGGGGGCAGTGTCTCTGCTCTAACTGGACTCCCTTTTTAATCGGGCAGGCGTGGAAAGCCCAGCTTTGGCTTGGCACTTAGCGGCATTCCTGCAGGAATCATCTGGCTCTGCAATGATTTTAAAGGTGCTTACTTAAGATTTACTCGTTTGCTCCAAAAGTCAGAAGGTGCAGGATGGGGTTCTGCCGGTCTCGCTCCCCGGATGCATTCACACCCCTCACCTTCCTCTCTGTCTGCGTAGTTATCAAATTCCGTCACACTCTCTCCGAGGGTAAACCAATTTACATTCTTGTTTTGGCCTTCAAACCCTTTCCAGTTGCCATGACAACCCTGCTTTCTCCATCTCTCCTTCCGTCTCTCCCTCTATGTCTCTTTTATTCACTCGTCTTTAGTGCTCCTCTCCCGTTGACCCCCTCCTCCGCCATATTTTCTTTCTTTTGAATGATTTCCGGCACCTTCTGCTCCGTTGTACTCCTCTAATCGATCCAAGGTGGGGCAAAATTAAGATTCTGAGATCTTAAGCCCAGGGATAGCCGATGATAGCATGTCTGTGTCCAGTATCCGTCCAACTGTCCTTCCCGAAGCAAAATGCAAACTGGCGCGACTGGGCGGTAATGAGTAACACAACAGCCAGGCAAAGGTGGAGACTCGTGGAGACACAGCCAGATAGTGCCACAGGTGCCTGGCAGCCGTCTCTTTCTGTCACTGGATTTTCCTACATTTTTCTCTCTTTTTCGCATTGTTCGTTATCAAACCAGCTTTGCATACAATGTGAAACAATGGGCATTTAATGGAAAAGACAGGATTTGTTGTAAGAAATGGGACACTCTTTACACTATAGTGCAGAACATTAAGTGTGGGGTATCTGGAGTTTTAATTAATGATGCAACAACTTTTAATATATTCTACAAGTTATTCCAGAAAAAAAAAAACTATTTTGTTTTCGTGCTTGCAGTGACTTCAGTGAATATTTGACTCAGCTTTCCTGTTAGAAATGGATAATTTTTTTTTTTTTAAAAAACAAGGCTCATTACCTCAATAAAATAATCTCTCTCTCTCTCTTGCATCTAATTCCATTTACTCGTTATTGGTTTCACTTGGTTACATCATGCTATGGGGAGTCTAATGAACGTCCTGAAAGTGTAAACACCACTTCTGCGGCTGAAGTGAAACCGGCCGCTTGATGTCTGTCTTTGTGTGTCTCCAACCAAGAAGCCATCTGTTTATTTATTTCCCTGATATATCAGTGTTTATGGCGTATGTGTGGGCCTGCCACCGGGAAAAGGAGAGCTTCCAAAAGGTCAGATTTTGGCTTGGGCTATGCCAGCAGGGGGGGTCCTACCCTCAGAAATTGTTTTGGGATCCACGATATATGGGCCAAACCCTGGTGTTTAAGATTCCCAGCTTTGTGCTTACATGAGCTGTCGGGACTGACCATCAGCAGATCTTTGAGCTGTCGCACCACAGTCTGATGCCTCTATGTCACGAGTACACCTGTCCAGCCCAGTACACCTATCCGGCCCAGTACACCTATCCGGCCCAGTATACCTATCTGGCCCAGTACACCTATCCGGCCCAAGCACAGCTACTTTTTCATTCTAGCCAGGTTCACCACCGGTGTGATGCAAAGCACCACGTTCCAGCAATGTCAGACATACTAGGAAACAGAGACTGAGTTCAACTTCAGTGGAGGTCTTCCTCAAAAACCAAGAGGTCCTATTGATCTTCTACTCATCTGCACACTATACTGTACAATGCCAGCGTGCAGATCATGTGGATGCAATGTTCTTACATCTGAAAGACAGACACAGAGAGTGAGAGAGAGAGAGAGAGACAGAGAGCTGTGTTGTATTATGTGTAAATTATCCCCTGTCTGTCCTTTATGTTTTATCCTTGTTAAGTAGGTGTTAATTACACAGGTCACATCAAAGAGCCAGAACAGAAAAGCATTCCAGGCAGGGAATGCGCATGTATATGAACCTACACCTGCTTTTCGGTTGTTGTTTACCCCCTCTCTAGGCGAGCTAAATAGATTTACTCCATGCACTTTATATCGGAAATAAATAAAGACTTAATCCGTGAAGATATGGTTTGTGCACTACGTCCCGGTAGGTATAGCAGCTACATTTTGATTATCGACTGCTTGTGTCCAGAGGAAATAGGGTCTTGTCTTGTGTAATAAGTGTTATACCTATTCACAAATCTCGCCAAACTGGAAGCGAGCTACTGTTGATGTCATGCACACCCTTGCTTTATAAAACACCGACACACTCTTGTAATAATCCCCTGAGAGGGCTCCGATAAAATTCACATAGTTTAACCGCCCCAAGCAATTTTCTCAGTAAATTATAAAATGTCACACAGGAAAGTGATTCTAGAAAAAGTATTTTTTTTCTTCGAATGACATTGTACCACATGGTTGTCCCTTCCGCCTGCTAACTTGCCGTTAAAAGCATCACACCCGAAAGCGGGCGACGTTTCTGTTATCGTGGAAACTCAATATACGGCTCCCATTTCGCCACGGCCGACAGAAATGCGCCCTTTGCGGGGAGCACCATCTTCACCCTGAGCCCGTAATGAGCCGCGTCCTTGGCCAGCACTCTAATGCACCTTTACACGCAGTCCATGTAAATGCGGGCATCTGTCACATTACCGACATGAACAAGGGTGCGCTGGCAGTAAAAGCACGCAAAAGGAAGCCCGTGTGGACCCCCGTACGGATACTGCACATGCAGCGCGTTTAATGCCTCTGCCACTGTACCTGTCGCTTTCTCGTACTGTACCCTGATAATCTGATATTGGTGGTACATCGTTTGCGTGTGCATGTTAGGGTATGCGTGCGTATGCTTGTGCGTTTTTGACTCTCCCCGGAAATTTGCAGGGAAATATTGACAGCCGTGTCATGAGCGCAAGTGAGCTGGGGAGGCAGGCTGAGCCGCAGTAGGACCAGCGGCAGTCGGCGGAAAGCGGCTGACTCTCCGTGCCCAGCGGACCCTGCGCCCTGCCCTCCCCCGGCGCTGTGCGGCGGACTCTCCGTGATCGGCGGACACTGCGCCCTGCCCTCCCCCGGAAGAGTGCGGCGGACTCTCCGTGACCGGCGTATCCTGCGCCCGTCCCCATCCACGGACTCTCGTCGTCTCGTCTTCCGCTCTCATCTGCGGCGGAATAGCTCTCATAGCCAGAGCTCGGTGCGCTCTTTTTCCTTTAGTGTGTTTTTATTACCGATCGGGAGCCAGAGGGGACGTCGGCCTCGCCGGACCCGCGTAACGAGGTAGGAAGACGCCGGGACTGGTTTCTCGTACACGGCCGCAATCCGCTCGGCACGCCGCCGCGGTAAACACTCATGTGTCCGGGTGTGTGCATGGGTGCATTTCCATACTCGGGGTAAATAGACAGTAAAGAGGGTGAATCGCGGGACGCTGTGCACCGGGGAGGGGGTGATCGTTACACTGATGCTATATTGGGCCTTTCTCCATGTGACCCCCCCCGACACTCCGCCGATCTCCGGGTAGCGGTCATGTTGGCCAGCGTGTGCGCCCTGACAGGTTACCATCCACTCCCGGGGGGGGTAGGTCGGGGGGTGCTCCAGCTAGCTGGGCCGTGCGTGGTCCCGGTCCCCCTCCCCCGACACCGGCGGCTAGGCTAACGCGGCGCTCCGGCCGACATGAAAGGGGGGGTGGGGGGGGGGAGAGATTTGGAAGTGCCGAAACCAGCCGGTCTACCGGGGCAGAACTGGGAAGGTGCTGAGAGCGGCGGCTGGCGTTAGTGTGAACCGAGGTCTGCGGACTACGGCCCGGTTCGCCTGGTTTCCGCTCGCTAGCCGCACGGAGCTCTGCACTGTGCAACATTTGGGACGTTAAAGCACCGTAAACACGGGGCGTAGCGGGTGACACCGCAGGTGGGTTTTCATTAGGGAGTGTGACGCACAGGTCAGCGCAAGAAGGGCGACATAGGACCGTCCGCGGTCCGTATCCGTGGTCCGGTTGCGTTACAACGGCGGCCTTTACCCTTCGCGGATTGGCCAATCAGCGCCCGCCTTGGCTGGGGTGGGACAAACTGACGCGACCGACAGCCAATAGGAATCTGATCATCTCTTTCTGGGGCGGTCCCAGCGCGGTCGTTCACGGTCGTCATCTGCGACTCAGGTGAGCTGAAAGGCCGATGCCCAGGTCGTGCAGGGGGCGGCTATTTGGACTAGTTTGCGGAAAGTCTGTGCCCGTGTCCTTTGGGGAGAACGCATGAAACTGCTTTACAAAGATGCTTTTGAACATTCTGAATCTAGACTGCCTCTCAGTTATTGTAGAATTAAAAGGAAAATTCGGTTCGGAGGTTGGGAGTTAAGTTTGTATTTTGAAGGTAAAGCTTCGTGTTTTATGTTTCACGGCCAGTACTTAAGGCTTTAAGTGCAGGTTGACATGCCCCATGTTATGCCTGTCCACCAGCAGTGTAGCAGCAGTGCAGAAAATGCGCTGATAGCAGTCTCGCTGGGTTCTGTTTCGTCAGCCCTGCCTTCGGCCCTGTTGTCTTTAAAATAGTAGCCATTGTTGCGATGGAGGAAATATGATGCTAAAATCTTGTTAGTTGTTAGTTACTAACTTTTAACCAATATAGCTAACTTTTTTACGTAGTAGTTACTAAAGACTAGAGACAGATGAAAACGCAGACGCAATGCATGTAAATGCACAAATGCATAGACTCGGCCATGTGTAAATTTGTGGACCAGGATCACTTCTCGGCTCTTGTGTTTCTCTGTTGCATAAAGCACTGTGTAAGTTGGATAATTAACGTGGATTGACTAAGGGGGAAGGCAATTGCTGCTAGCTGGGGTCTGCAAGGGCTGACCTGCTCTCGATTTGAGTTGTTTAGGAAGAACTAGGGGAGAGAACCGCGAGTCCTGATCTTAGTCACCTCTTGCAGCTTGCACATAGCCTTGTCAGGCTGTCTCACCACCAAACAGAGGGGGTGTCCACACTACATGCAAATCATGCTTCTGTTTCCCACAATATTACCCATAAGCACTTGAGAATGTCAGCAAACAAGCAGATCATTTACCACTGTAAAAGTTTCCCGTACTTCTTGGCTTCTGTCGATCTGGGCTTTAGGGTACCTCTCTGGGTGATGGGTGCCCAGACTGCCCCCAGACCACCTGCACTGTGTGGACCACCCTCGGCACCACAGTCTACACCCCAGACAGGCCTGTGTGTTTATTTTTAGTGCCGAGTTGGGCTTGGAACCCGATCCTGCCAGAGAGAGGCTCCTAATTGTCCCCAGTGACGGTGACCTGTTTGGCTGCCTCTCCTGGACCGAGTCACCCCGGCGACCGCCATATGGAACACCCGCATGTTGTGCTCCTGTATGCATGCGATACACGTCTGTATGGTAATGGGCTTAAAGTGACATCATCAGGGATCGAAAAGCAGCTCCTGATGGGCTTAGGGTAGCAGACAAGCTTACCTGGTTAATCTCTTTATTCCAAAATCTGTTGTTTAAAAAGTTGTTATATTAAGTTATCACTTTATTTTGAAATATGTGTATATCGAGCATATAAACAGAAACTACCCTGACTTTCTCACAGATGCTGGCTTCACATCTTTATTTTGTGTTGCGGCGTTCCTGTAGTGTGATCTTTAGGACGAGACCCCACTGTGGACTGTGAGCACAATGTCCTCCGTTATCCCACTGCTGATCTTTAGGATGGGAGCCCACCCCAGCCTGTGAGCACGACATCCCCCCTGATCCCACTGGTGATCTTTAGGATGGGACCCCACTGTGGCCTGTAAGCATGGCGGCACCTGTCATCCCGCTGGTCATCTTTAGATTGGGACCCCACTGTGAGCTGTCAGCAAAATATCATCCGTGATCCCACTGGTGATCTTTAGGATGGGACTCCACTGTGAGCTGTCAGCACAATATCATCCGTGATCCCACTGGTGATCTTTAATAATAATAATAATAATAATAATAATAATAATAATAATTAGCTGGGGGTTAAGGGTCTTGCTCAAGGACCCACAGCTTGAACAAGCGACCTTCTGATCACAGGCACAGAGGCATAGCCCACTGAGCCACACGCTGCATTCAAGATGGGATCCCACTGCTCTAAGCACAGTGTCCCCCGTGATCTCACTGGCAATCATTAGGATGGGACCCCACTGCAAGCTCTAAGCACGGCGTCCCCCGTGATCTCACTGGCTATCATTAGGATGGCGTCCCACTGCGAGCTCTAAGCACGGCGTCCCCTGTGATCTCACTGGCTATCATTAGGATGGGACCCCACTGTGAGCTCTAAGCACAGCGTCCCTCATGTTCTCACTGGCTATCATTAGGATGGGACCCCACTGCGAGCTCTAAGCACAGCGTCCCTCATGTTCTCACTGGCGATCATTAGGATGGGACCCCACTGCGAGCTCTAAGCACGGCATCCCCCGTGATCTCACTGGCGATCATTAGGACGGGACCCCACTGTGAGCTCTAAGCATGGGGTCCCCTGTGATCTCACTGGCAATCATTAGGATGGGACCCCACTGCAAGCTCTAAGCACGGCGTCCCCCGTGATCTCACTGGCGATCATTACTATGGGACCCCACTGCAAGCTCTAAGCACGGCATCCCCCGTGATCTCACTGGCGATCATTACTATGGGACCCCACTGCAAGCTCTAAGCATGGGGTCCCCCGTGATCTCACTGGCGATCATTACTATGGGACCCCACTGCAAGCTCTAAGCACGGCGTCCCTTATATTCCCAGTTGTGATCTCTAGGATGCGACTCCATCCTGACCTGTGAGCACGGCCTCCCCCGTGATCCTGCTGGTGATTTTTAGGATGGGACCCCACTCTGACCTGTGAGCACGGCCTCCCCCGTGATCCTGCTGGTGATCTTTGGGANGACCTGTGAGCACGGCCTCCCCCGTGATCCTGCTGGTGATCTTTGGGACGAGACCCCACCCCTACCTGTGAGCATGGCCTCCCCTGTGATCCTGCCGGTGATCTTTAGGACGGGACCCCACCCCGGCCTGTGAGCACGGCCTCCCCCATGATCCTGCTGGTGATCTGAGAGCTCCTGGGCGTGTTGTGAGCTGTGCTGTGGGGGTAGGCTATTAAAGAATCATTTGATACTGAGAACCTTTAGCCTGGGAGGCAGACACAGATCCCGAGTCAGTGACGGGGAGGGGGAGGGGGGGGGTTGAATTAACCATGTTTCCACCACGCTTCTGTCTTTCACTTCTTTGTTTTTTCCCCTTACAGCTCTCTGTCTCTCCCTCCCTCCTGTCCCTGTCTCTCCCTCCCTCCTGTCCCTGTCTCTCCCTCCCTCCTGTCTCTGTCTCTCCC